ATATATATATATATATATATATGAAGGTTGTATAAATGTTGGGTTTACTAAGCCCTAAATGTGCATTATGGCTTTCATTTGTGCAGTCAAAGCCAGATTTCTAACAATCTGGGCGATGAGGCAATGTGAAGCATAACCTTGTTCAAAGGGGGTCAATTTTCAAGATTTATTTAGGTTTAAAAGTTAATTTTAATATAAAATGTTGTATAATGTTTTTCTTTTTACTGACAAAAAGTTTAATGCACTATATTTTATAGTAAATTACATTTTCTGTATTACATCTAACCAGATATATTAAGATGAAATTCAAAGTCCATGTCACCAGCAACATCTGAGACACAGGAAGCAGCTGAAATCAAAAGGGCCAAAAACAGAACTCTGTGGAACTCCATGCTTTGGTGGTTAAAGATGAGTTCAAGTCTGATTCTGCAGAAGAAAAAGTAGGTATTGGTTTAGAAAATAAATCTGAAGCTGCTTTAGATGATGCTGTCCAATATTATGATGCGCTGAATTACAGAGAGAGTGAAAAACTCATCTTAAACCTGGGGTTGATAAGACGGCAGGGGCTCAGGAGAGGACTATCTCAGTCTGTTCGCTTCTACAAAGACCAGAACAGATTTGTTCAGCGTTTTAAATTAATCTACAGTATGTAAAATGCTTCCTAGCTACAACTATTAAGAACTTTTCGCTTTTAAGGAGAGGTTAGAGATTAGTTTACGGGGAATAACAGCCAATGATGGAAACCCAGATAAGGCACGCTTCTGGTAATTTACAGAAACAATATTCTTAAAGTAAATCCCCCCAAAAAGGTTATAAATAAAACAGTTTCTATCTATAATTGTAATCTGTACAGGATATGAATATGTATTTACAATGTGCTTGTTGGATAACGTTGGGCAAATTATGAGATGAGAGGAAGACGACTTTCTCTGTTAAATTTCTCCACTTGCAGGAATAACATACCGGTAAAAAAAAAGACCTCAGTTCACCCTACCAGAAAGCCACACATTAAGCTCAGTAAGCAGATGCAGAAATCTAATTTAAGAAATAACCACACAGTTGCACAAGCCTGACATGAGTAATGTAGATTTTTTTTTTTTATACTTCCTCTAAACTGACAGACTCATCACAACCTAACATTCTGAACTCCATTAGTGCCTCTGTGTTTGTGTAGGTTCACAGAGAGATGATGACAGAGACTAACATCTCATCTTAGGAGGAAGCGGTTTGGTGGTTGGATGTGCAAAAGCGGTGGCAGAACAAGGAGAAACTCCAACGCAGGTTCTATGACATGAAGTGCAAAGGGATTGTTCTGGATTTGTTTTGGTCGTTTTGTGTTCAACTGAACTGCAGTGATGAACAAAAAAAAAAAAAACCAACATAAAATATATGTTTACTTCACATGTTTCCAAGGCAACCGATGCAATATGGCTGACAGTGTTTTCTGGATATCAAAAGCATGGCTCAGAGCTGTCTTCAGGCCAGCACCGTCCCCTGGTAGGGCTTCTGTTGTATAATCACACACATGCTGCAGACATGCCGGGCTTTCCTTTCTCCTTACCCTGGTAGCGCGCTCCGTTTTTGATGACGATGGCCCCTCGGCTGCGGGTCTCCTCCTCTGCCTGGGCCAAGCTCTGGCGGGCTTTATCGTACGAATCATCTGTGGCGTTGACCGTCATCTTCTTCTGAATCACTCCAAGACATGTCAGCTCCTCGGCGGCACTGGGGACAAGGAGGAGGATAGTGAGTGCGGGCAGAGCGTTTTAGCCTCCTTTGAGTTCTGTTCCTTAGAAAGAGCTGCTTCACACTTCAGGTCGTTTAAGGTGACGCCTGCTGCCTTCAGATTCTCTGCTTCCTGTAAAATCAGAAAACCTGGCTTTTTGTACACAAAATAGCTTTTAACTCTTAATAGAGGTTTTCAGCCTTACCCTGCGAATCGCTACCACTATGCTACCTGCTATCATAACTTAATGTGGACAAGCAAAAAATAAAAAATAAAAAAAGAACAATGAAAGGTACCACTTTTGATATTGGTGAGGGTTTCAATGAAAAGGAACCACATGAGTACAAGAAGCTCTGTTAAAAACTGCTTGTGGTTTTTTCCAGCTTCGTGAGAGCAACACCTTTAGCAGACAACAGGAAGGCTAAAGAGAATATGACAGATTTGGAAACATTTGCTGCTTCCCTTATCTTGAATAAACACAAAGTGTAATTTAATGTTAGCTGCTTTGATTGTGCTAAATGTTAAGATGCTAAACACGGAATACGTCTGAGTAATAACCTTTCACAACAAAGCCTAGGATATTCTTTGAAGACAACGTTCTGATAATGTTTTACATCAAAGATAATAATCACAATTTGCTGAAGGAGATTAAAGCGGGCCATAAAACATGAGTGCATTTGTCTTTATTTTAGGCTTTAAGGTTTATTTTTTAACTCAGATTCCTACAGGTGGCGTTCCTTTCTTGCTCTCCACTTACACAGAAAAAAAAAAAAAAACAATCCATGTGCAATCTGTGTTTTTCTGCAGTGCCTCTTCTCTACTCACCCTATGCTGCGCTGTTTGACACAGTCGAAGCTCCCATGCGGACTATTGCGAGCGACGTTAGTCACTCCAAAGGTGAAGATCCGCGCTTCATTTCCATTCTCTGAGCAAGGGATGGCAATTCTCTACAACAGCGGGGAAGGGATCAAACATTTTTTAAATGTATGACACAATATGAGTGAAATACGGTGCTGTGAAAGCAGTAGCAGCAGGTCGTCTCACCCCTTGATTTCCATTGAAGGTGATGGTAGGACAGGAAGACCAGCTCTAAAAAGAACACAAACAGAGGCTGTGTGAAGAGTGTTGCTCCTACTTGCATCAATGCAATAGACCGGGAGAGAAATATCAATAGATTGGTTATTCATGATAAGTTCAGTAGTTATATTTAGTAAAAGAATAAGCATTTTTACTCTCAGGAAATTGATATTCTTAAATGTGATGTCTGAGAGCGACATTTTGTTACTTAAAAGAAACAAGTCAGAGATTAAATTTGGTTTTTGACTGATTTAAAATAAGCTCCAGGAAGGCGTCTCTCACTTTTGCACACTTTGCACCGTTTTTTGTTTTTTTTGGATAATCGCTCCATTTTAGTTAGATTTGCTAGAGTCTTTTGCTTTGGATTTTGACCTGGTTGAACACATGAAGATCTTCTGATCTAAATGGTTCTATTGCATATCTGGTAGGATAGGATCAGGACATTGGGAAACGAACCTTGGAACTTAATAAAAACTGCTGTTCTCGGCGCATTTTATCCGGAGCGGATCGTTTGCTGTGTGAACACATGCCCTTTGAAGCGTACTTAAAGCAGAAGGGGATGACACAATATAAGAAGAGTGCATTTAAGTAAAAAAAAAATAAAAACCAGGAGCTTGAATCCAAAGTTAAAAGAATTAGAAACCACTCAAACAAACAGTTGCAACTGCATGCTGTTGTTTGGCCCAGTCGAAAAATCTCAGTTTGAAACCAAACCAGGCCAAACGAAGGAGTGGATATTGCCTAGACTGAACCAGCAGCATGAATGCATCATTAGGTTTCCCACTAAATGCTTTGTTATCCAATAATCTTTACTTATGGTCCATTACAAGTCAAGCAGCTTCCTCCAGGCCCCAGGCATGACTTGTTGCAACCTTCTTCCAATAAACACTTATGGCCACAAATCCTTGTGGGAGTCTGCTAGATTTGCAGCAGCCCTTTTATTTTTGGGTGACGTCTGGATCTTCTAACTTTCAAATATTAAACTTTTCCAGAGCTTTGCTGTTTTTTGGAATTCATGATGCAGTTATTGCGCCCCAGTTTTGGTTTGTTTTGCACACAGAGTGACCATGATAATGACGCTTGTGCAGCCTTGTTGCATATTTGCTTTTTTGCTCTGCAATAAAATTAAGACAGTTGTATTTATTTTGGTGTTAAAATCTAAATAATTATAATTTGTAGCTGGAAATATGACAAAAATGTGAACAAGTTGAGGCACGAACGCTGGTGCAAGAAGCTTTTATTTACAGTAAATTTCTCAATGAATGAGTTGTGTCACATGGGAGCATTATTGCTGAAATTAAGGCCATGTTCTCTTAGAGGGAAATACAAAGATCACAGAGCCTGCAGCCCTGACAGAAAGTATGCAATGTCCACAATCTATATGACCTTTTAAAAACAGAGTCAACCTGTTGATGAGAGAGCAAAGAGTGAGCTGGCCCCTACATATGGAGATGTTATACCATTTCCTGTCTGAGTGTGATCAGAGGTGATTTCCCCTCTTCTCTGCCTCATCCCCAAACTCAGGTTAAATCACGATGAGATCAATGGGGAGTTTCTTGTTGAAACGATTAAAGAGGAGGCTGTCATTTCCTCACCGTGGAGTTTCCAGCCCTTGTTACGAGGAATTGCTGAATCGAGGAACTGCATTTTACATAAAACCTTTCCTGTAGCTTCTGATTTAGAGGATTTTAATGGGATATGTGGGCTCCGATTCATTTAATATCAGTTTATTCAATTCGATCCAAATATTCCCTCCTACTACAGATCCTCACCCCCTCACTTTCTTCTAATCCTTACCACATATTTTACTAGGAGCCTGTTTGGACTCGACCAACAGCTTCATACAAGCTTCATAAACACTCGCCGTGTTTCCGCCTTGCGTTATGCAACATTTATCAGCAGTTTACGGCAGCAAAATATTTAAAAAAGGGGGGGTGAATGGTAAGAACAGCTGGGGAAAGAGAGAGGCTGGGGGGAGATGGTGGTGAACTTGGTCCGTCGTGTTTTTAAAATCACTTCTCTTTGAAGCTATAGCATCCTCAACAAGTTTCTACCAACACGGTGGAGTGTTTTAGTGTCCGCGCAGAGAGGAACAATGAGACCCACCTTGCCGTTGTGAAAGCTCCCGATGGCTCTTGCCGCGCTGTCAGTGAGTTTTACGTGAAAAACGGAGACGTTAGAGCCGGGGTTCAGTTTACCGCTGGAAAGCCCGTAACACCGCTGCTCCCTCAGAGCCGACATCGCGCTGCAGTCCTCCCCTCCCGCTCACAGTTTACTCCGAGCAAAATCCGTCCGATACCATAGAAATGAGCAAACATTGACCGAGACGGATCCGAATAAAGACCTCCGCGGAGCAGTGTGTCTCCTGCTGCTGCTCCGCGGCGCGCTATTACGGCTGAACTCAGAGCCGATCCTATTGGTCAACGGCCACGCACGGGCTGTTACGTAGGTGTTACGTAACTGCTTCCACTTTTTTCTGTTGGCTTGTCGTCTCCCTATGCTAATGTTGCTTTACATGAGGTAATGGGGGAGACTCATGTTTGCGGAGGGCTATGGCAGGCCATTGTAACATTTAATCCAACCAGAATTTATAAAGATGGTCCTCCACCCAGAGGCGGTTCTAGCACGAGAGATGCCCTGGGCGCCCACCTCTTACCATTGGCGGTTCTAGATGGGGGCCAATAGGGCCCAGTGCCACTGTAGAACTAGTCCTGGCCCCTGTTATGTTCCCTGTACTAAAAACATAAAGAGCAAACATTTCAATGTGATTATTAGTTTTCTTGAAATAAATGTATATTGCCTTTAATTAAGAAGGTATGTTAAACAATTAGCAGACAGAAAAGGAAGATTTATGTTTTTTAAAAAAAAGAAAAACAACTTTTTTTTTTTTTTTTTAATAATGTTTTAGATATGGTTTATAAAAGCCCTCATAGGGACAAGTGCAGCGAATTAGCTCACTCTAACAGCACATGCCAGCATGTGTCTGCTGTTTTTCAGTAAGACTATGCTATGGTTTATCCGTCCCTATCAAATACACTCAATAAAAATTTTAAAAAAAATGTATGATCACTTAAGTTTCAAAAACTTTATAAGTCTTAAAAATGTCTGTCTAATCTATTAAAGCTTGCATGTGCTGGCTCTATTACTGTTGAGCGACTATATTAAATATAGGATGAGGGCATAACGGACCCGTAGAGCCAATAGTAGAGAAGACTGTGAGGTACCTGTGAGAAAATATGCATTTGTTTAAAATTTTATTTCATACCAGGGCTGTGTGCAAAGGAATAGTCCGACAACTGTAAGAGAGGCTCCGAGTTTTACAACAATCGAAAGGAAAAGCAACAACTGCTCTTTTGAGTATATCAATGTGTAACTGCTCCTGTCTGTCTCTGTCCTTAGTCTATCTATCTGTGACTATCTGTGTGTAGTCTGGTGCTGTGGGTTACCCTAACATGATGCATGTGTCTTGTCTTTCTTTTATTATAAATTAAATGTTAACAACACCTGTCCAGGGACTACAAAGGTAAATTGGCCAATGGCTTCACCCATTTACATGTTATGTATTCTCATAACAGATATCACATGTACTATTTATATGAAATAAAATGAATAAAGGAGGAAAATATTCCTACATCACATAGACAGACTAGTTTAATAGAAACAAGGAGCAAATGCAAGATTTTGTTTTAACTCAAAGGCTTGTGTTGTCCTAATGAAAGAGTCGCACACTTAAAAGAATGCTACAACTCTCACATTTTTAACCACACAATTAATAATAGTCAGCTTCATATTTATGAGGCTGATGTAAGATCAACAAATGTGTGAAACTTTGATGTGACATTACAAAATATCTTATAATAAATCCATGCTTGAGACTTGAGATTTTTAAAGCTCACTCCAACCATATGTAGAAAACTATTCTGAAAGATGGAAAAAAATACTTTGCCAGCACAAGGTGATATGTTGAGTTTATTTTATTTTTTTAATAGCATTTAGCAAATAATATAAATTTACATAAAATTTGTATCTTAATACAAAAAAAAAAAAAAAAAAAAATCACATATACAATATCTGCATATTATTGAGAACTGGTTGAATAGATGATATCCAAAAGTGTTTGTTCTGCAAATAATTATTTGATGATATACTACAAATGTTTTATATTTTTTTTACAATTACAATTGAAATTAGCACCCCTAATGAAAAAAAAAAAAAAAAAACAAGCACTAAAGGTTAACTTTTTTTTTATTTTTGTATTACTGCTGAAAGTTAAGGCCATCAATATCCTTTTTCATATTTGTACCCTGAAGCCTAATGTATATTTGCTGGAACAGTGACTTTTGACATCTGGATATCAAATGTGCATCTTTTGACAATCTCCAAATTATTTTAAAACAGGACTAGCGAACAAATATTCATATGATAATGTAGGTTGCCATATGGGTCTGAAAAGAGACCTTATTTTTAAACCTTCTTAAGGTCAGATAAACATAAGATAAAGATTTGATTAGATTCAACTTTACTGTCATTACACAGGTACAAGTACAAGGCAACGAAATGCAACGAAAGGCCACAAGATATAGTTTTATTCATAAAAACAAAATATGCAGCCACTTTTATTTGGGACAACTTCAGCTTTGAGTAGAGGCAGACATACAGTAAGTACACAGTGAAGCTGCTTTAAAGGGAAAGATTAAAAGGCCCAGTAAGGTGTTAGGGACTGCCAGTGATGAAACCAGTTAAACTGGATGTTTGTTACAGTGAAGTATTTGTCTTCAGAACTGTAGCTATGGCTTAATATTCTAAGTGCTCATGGGTGTGCTTATATGACAAGCCAACAATTGTAAAGGTAATGCAGTTAAACCCGGATCTGATCAGATTTAGTTTGCATCAAGAAGCAGTAAATGAGCCTTGCTGAATCACAGTGTTTAGTGTTAGTACGGGGTGTGTTGGTGCATATTTTTCAGGAGGTGCTGAATTTCTCCTGCATGACAAAACCGTCTTATAACTTTACAGAAATTGGTCCAAATTACAGAAGAGATTTAGTGAGTTGTAGCCTTGTTGACCAAACTCCTCTGTTCCCTCTGATGGGAGGGGAGGCTGGTTTGAGTTAAAAGAAAGAAGAAAATATATAGTAACTCAAATAACAAATTGTTACAGATACCTTTTAATGTGCGCCAACTCTAAGTGAACAAGAAGTCAACTCTTCAAGCAGGTGGGATACAGTGGAATAACACCCCACTGGGTGCTACTCAGAACACTATTGCTTCAAGATGCAAAGACTCACCAAAAAGTAAAAAACTGGAGAAATATTACCATGTCTAATGACTTGTTTACACTTCCAACAATTAGATACTAGACAAAGTAAAGATTACAAGAATTGTAAAATCCTGCAAATGAGGTCAAACAGCAAGGACCTTTCACAACTTGGTAGACCAGAGCCATTTGAACCACCCCAGCAGAGTCCAAGTAAAAAGGTCCTAATAGACCCCCAGCTCAACCACAATGCAGTCCAGGAATGGTCCAAGGTCCAATAAGGAGCAAGGCCAGTGAAGCAGTGAGACCTGTGGGTGCAGCGAGCCTCCAACCTCCCAACTATCCAAACCGTATAGCCCCACCCTTCTTAAAACAAACCTAGGTAATTAAATCTACCTCAGAAAGATTTATGAAGATTTTGAGCTCAAAAAATACACCTTAAGCCCTACTATTTAGCCCTACCCCTACATTTTGCATGTTCCCATGAGGGTATTGCTGTTCCAATTCCTCTTTGGATGTGGGGTATTGGACATAATGAGGGGTATGGGGTATGAATCAAGCCCTTCAGAACGAGGGATATCAGGTGCTGACTTGCCAAGTAAGGGCCAGAATTCCCCAGAATACTTCTTGTCATCATTTCAAACAACTATGGCTCATCATGGAGGACAGGGATTCTATGAAGCAACTTGCAGTACTGTTTAAACTTTTTAAAGCCAAACAAAGCTGTCAGTGTCCCTGGGTTCACCAGATTCTCCTGGACAAGAGAGATAAGGTGAGACGGCGTTCTGAAACTAAGACAGGAGCAGCGGGAAATCAATGCAGGAGCACCTGTAGAAAGAGTGACACAGCCAAAATGAAGGTGTCAGCCTTCATTTAGCCTCTTCTTTAGCTAAGGAACCACAGCAGGGGTCAAAGGTGGAGAGTGGTTGATTGGAGAAGCCTGCCAGGCAGACACAGCGCCAGTGTGGGGGAGAGGCTGTGGCTGTCATTGGAGGTAGGATGACAAAACAGTCCTTCTAGGGCTAAATTAAAACTGTTTCTTTAAAGCCACCCACATACCTATTAAGGTCATTACCCGCTTTATCCTTTGAAGACATTATTTCCTCTTTCATTTAAAAAAAGCTTTGTCTCCTCTGTTATGCTGTTATGATGGGACGTATCTTATATATGTGCATAAGCAAACACAGAGTTGCTTTCATATCCACACATCAACGATGCAGCAAGGTGTGTCTCAGTTCCTAGGGAAGAATAAGAAGCCATCACCTTGTGGCTTTACTTAGAGGTTGTAGTAATGTTGGGTGATGGCTAGTGCTTTAAGTAGAGGAAAAATTGGGATTGGACCTAAGTCTGGACAAGTTTTTTTTTTTTTTTTGATAGTTGCTCTACGTTTTGATGTGGATTATCAATCTGGACTTAACAGCAATTTTCAGCTGATGGTATTTGAAAAAAATGTTAAATATACATACCAGGCTGTCAGAGATGTTCTTATGTTGATTTCTTTCTTAAAGGGCTGATAATTATAGTAGTTTACACAACATAGTGTTTGCTATATGTACGTATATGTTAACTGATGAATTCATGAATGAATCCTGTAAGCCACATTTATTAAAAAGGAACAGAAAAAAATGTGAGGTTTTTCACTCTTTGTGTTAGGAATCTTTACGCATTTCATGTTTTGAATTAAACACTAAAATAAATGATAAAGGCTCATTTAATGTGTTGCATTTGTATATGGAGAACAAAACAGAGCAGAAGACAGCGAGCTGCTGAGAGATGGTAGGAGAACCTGTGCATCGTGAGGGTTTTTGAACACAGATGGTGGTCACAGGGCAGATGAGAGCCGTTCAAAGCTGACTCATATCAAAGGCCCTCTGGCTCTTTGTAGTGCTGTGTTTGCAACAGGTGACATTTTAGACTGGAAACCGTTTATGACTTTGAACGCTCGCCCCTGAGCCAGAAGGAAAGGAGAGCGCGGACTGGAGCAGGTGGAAGCTGCAGAGGGAAAATCACTTCTGTAACATGAAGATGCTCCATCTTACAACAAAGGTAAAATGTTTTAAAGGATTTACATTGATTTTGATTTAAAAACTTATTCTGGCTCAATAGAAAGAACTGCAAAATAAATGTGCTGTTTTTTTGTTTAGCAGGCTGTAAATGATGGAAATTTATTAATGTTTTTCTCTCAACTGATACTTTAATTTGGTGTGTAGGGCTGGTTAAACTTATTTAATAATAATTACATAAAAAAAAGGTTTTACATATTACAAGGAATATAAAAATGTTAAAAAATGTCCAAAGATCAGTCACACACACACACACACACCCAGATCATCAGCATGTTTTAACTTTGATCATCCACTCATTTGTTTGAAGAGTTCTGTTTCCTGAATGGAGTGATAACATCAGGTTTCTTTTCACTGAATTTACTGTGGATTTGTTTCTGATATGTAGGGTTAAAACTATACATTGTAGTTCATTTGTTTCCTGTCATGAAATGAAATACTGGTAGTCTTTCAATTTTCAATATGTTTACATCTGAACCATCCCAGAAGCTTAATCTTATCCAGGACCACCTCTGACATGTCTTTTGCATTATTGTCCTCATGGAGCACCAAAATGTGTCACAGTTTTTAGTTAAACTCAGCATGATCCTGCCATGAGAGCCGATGTTTGACACATACGTATAAATACTTATATTGATTGGAGAAACTAGAAGAATCACGGTAAAAGAGTTTGATAAGAAACTAAAAAGAAAAAGAAAATACAAAGCAGTGGGGCCTGGGAGCAAACTGAAGAAAATGCATAAGAGGAGAGCAGGGAGTATAACAGGAATGATTTGCAGATAGACAAAAGGCAAATCAGGCTCATGAGGAGGTAAGATAATATTATACAATAGCTGAAAATATGAAGCTGGAGTCCTTTCTCTAAGAACTCCAACAAACATTTTCTCTGTGACCCTATATTAAAATATTTTTCTCTGATCATCCTACAGACATTTGGATACCGTATATCTATCCATGTATCCGAATTCCAGTAAAGCTTAAATGCATAGATTTGTAGCAGGAAGTTGTTGCTTTCACCTGTTTTACTCTGTTCCATGTGGACATCCATCTTGGTCTATCAGCCTCTTCCAGTTCATTGAACATTTGATCCTTGTTGATTTGGATCTTCCTAACCCAATTCATTTCAGTTTAAGGTAACGGTTTTGGATCTGGTCATCGGGCACAGTAAGTAATCTACCATGACAGTGATCACAAACACACATTAAAATGCAAAAAGGAGAACATGGAATTGGCCTGACCTAAACTCTGCTAGAAATGAATATGCTGCAAGTTTATTGCAGCCGGCCATAGAGCCATCAGTTTTGATTTGTGTAGTTTTTTTTTATTATTTTTTTTTCTCCTAGCTCTGATTCTGTTTTATTTTCCTATATTTTAATCATGTAAAGCACTTTGCATTTTCTTTGTACTGAATTGTGCTATACAAATAAATTTGCCTTGCCTTTGCCTTTGCCTTGCCTTGCCTTGCCTAGTAGTCTAACATAGAGCCAGGAGATTGTTAATGGATTTAAAATGTTCGTAATTTCTCTAGAAATGTCTAAAACATCTACTCAGGGTGTTTTGTAGGTTTGGACTATATATATAGATTAAAACCTGCGTAGATGTTAATCTAAGGTTCATTTATGCTTGTGGTGTCCACATGGCCGGTTATGTCATTTCAGCACCCACGCCCCTCTGTGCGGCCTGATTTTTCCACATCTAACAGGAAAATTAATAATTATGCGGACACCTTTGCTAAGAAAACATGGTGGATGAGCTGCAGCTCCTACTGGTAGAGGTTCATAAACATCTAGAAGCATCTTATGATTTGATTGTGAACAGCAGTTGGAAATTAATTTCTGTTGCTCTTGAAAACTGTGTTTTCTACACGTACGGTGTTGTAAGCTTATAGTATATGCTCTATGCCCCCACTGAAAGCCTGTATTAGCATGTAGCATTTAACAATATTGATTTTAGGGTGATTTATGCATTAAACATGTGCACACAATCCCTTTCGAATCCTGTATTTTCAGACTACCATCCATAAATAATAGTTCCAAAACACTAAAAGTAGCATAGCATTCATAATGATGACAAGGTGATGGAAACTTGGAACCTGAAATAAACTCTGACATTGTTTTTCCTCCCAGGAAATGGAGGATCCCCTCACAGACTCCAGCCCACTCATCAGCGCAGCCTCCTCTGGGAAGCTTCGTCTGGTCCGCCTGCTGGTGGAAGGTGGAGCTCAGGTGAATGGGAGGAACCACAGAGGAGAGACGGCTCTCCTCGCTGCCTGCAAGGCCCTGAGAGGAGAACCAGCAGGAAAGGAGAGTGTGAAACTCCTGCAATTCCTGCTGCAGAATAAGGTCAAACTGCAGTGACAAATACCTGTTCTTTCATCTAAAAAGATTTCAAAATGCATGGAGAATTGATTTGAAATGCATGCAGGTGGAAATGAGCGTGCTTTGGAATATTTACAATGCATGAAATAAATAAGCTTCTGATTTAACTACCGCAACTGCCTACGTGTGTGTACCCAAACATTTTGATTGTGGGATACAAAACATACATTTAAACATAATATCCAACAGAGCCAGATTAGTTTTGACTGAGGAAAGGTGAAACAAAAAGTTCTCAGTTTAGCTAAAGTTTGGGTTTCAGAAATATCTCTTCCTGAGTTCCAGATTCTTTTTTGAACCCATCAGGCAGATCCCAACATGCAGGACCAGGATGGTCGCTCTGCCCTAATGTACGCCTGTATGCAGAGAGCAGGAGCTCTGGTGGCGTCCACCCTCGTAGCTGCAGGAGCTGACCCATGCATGGAGGACGGCACTGGAGCATCAGCCTTGGTTTACGCCATCAATGCACAGCACCAACCCACACTGCAGGTTATAATCCCGCTTTGAAAGTAAAGAGAAAAGGTGTACAGGAGAATATGGAGCTAAATTTGGGCCATACATTTTAAACCAGAAAAATTACATTACAAAAAAAAACTACTTTTTAGATTAAAATTTTTTTTTCTTTTCAAACCTACAGATTTTTTTTTTTTTTTTAACTTGCACACATTTTTTCAGCTTCAAACTTATGGCCTTGTTTCAGTGTTGGGGGTAAGGACCTTAGATGACCATGACTACCTGCTTAACATAGTAACTGAACAACCTATTCACAGCTGTTGCATTCAGGGACTGTTGAAACTGGAAATCTCTTTAAAAAAATCATAAATATTCTACATATATGTGATTGGTTTTGAATAATAACCTTCTGCACCAACGGTAGCAGCTTACATGAATACATTAAGCAAATCTCAGATGATAAAATATGATTTTAACAGATTTGACAGAACGCTGTGTGGGAGATTTCCTAAAAATCTCCATTATTTACTGTTGTTAAAACATAATAGAAGTAATAACAATAATACATTTTTCTTTTTGCAGACTCTTATTTTCAGGTTGAAATGTTTCTCTTTTGAAAAAAACTTTTTTTTTTTCTTTAACAAAATTTATGGCCCCAATTTAGCTCCATAGAAGGATACAAAACACCTCTATGAAAGTCTTGTCTGGAAGTAGTTCATAAAGATGAGAACAAAAAAGTACCAAGATTGAAGCTTAATTCTACCCCTTATCCATTTCAGGTGCTAATAGATTCATGCCGGGCTAAAGGTCGTGACATCATCATCATTGCTACAGAGATGGGCCTGAGCAGAGGCCCGGTGACCAGGCGTTACCTGAACGTCCCCCCGTCTCCGGACTCCTCGCCTGTGTCCTGCATGTCCCCGTCTGAAATCATTGTAAAGACCGGCTCACCAAAGTCATCCGAGGGAGGAAACATCTTTAATTTCAGAGGAATGAGTGAGTGAGGATCTGAAAGAGGCCTGGGATTAAGCTTTACGTCAAATTACAGATTATTGTCCTGTTGAAGCAGGACAAATGTTTTTGAGGCTCAGTTAACTGGCCAATATGGTAACAATAATGGAGGAAGATCCTGAATCATCACTATCATCATTCACAGCAAAGCAAATTTCAATAAAAAACAAAAACTGAACTAACTGCACACAGTAACAAGAAGTTTGGACCAGCTGTCATGCACAGTGGTGGCAGCTCCGCACTGAGGAGCTGCAGGGCTGCCAGTGGTACTGGTGCATCACATGATGTAGACAGACTAATATATTCTTTACATTTATCCCAAACTGAGAGCCAGAAGGCTAAAGCTCTAATACAATCTGATCCAACAGGCCATATGATCTGGACCACACACCACCTCTGCTTTAGGATTAGCCAACATTAAACAGAAGACATATGAAGGAAGTTGTTAATGCATTGAAAACTATTTTTAAGGTGCTACATAGAAATTTTGTCTTGCTAATGACCATTACATCACCAAAACAAAAATGATTTTTGTTGCAAAAAGAAATATACGAGTGTGTGATTTGAGAACTGTAGGTTTGGCAGATTTAAGTCATGTTTTCCTTGATTTATTTCCTGTAGGTAAACAGGGAAACAGCAGCAGCAGACGTTCATCATGTGAGCTGAGTCGGCTGAACCTGAGAAGCAGTCCAGCTTCCAGGCAGAGGGTATCGTCCGAACCTTGGCTGGCCATCAACAACCTGGACTCTCTGAAAAGGGCATATGAAGAGGGAATGAGGGAGAGGAGCCTGGAGTTGGAAGGAGATATCCTGGACATAAAGGAGCAGGAAAG